AATTTTATCGCAGGAACTGTCTTTATGCGAGCAAGCGACATGGAAACCACTGATGCGAGATATCACACAGTATTGTCGCTTGCACGCTTCAACAACTGATGGAAAACGGGTTTGGCGTGGCGCCAAACCCATACCGCCTGATACGCCTTTTCACCCGCAGCAAACATTCTATGAACATACATATGAACAGGGCGCTCGTAATCAGAAATCTACGAAAACTGCTGAATTTATTGCAGTGTGACAATAGGTCGACGTGTGTATCGCAATGACCTCAAATATTTCATAAATAGAAAACATAAGCATAATAGAAAACTCACAGCAGACCCCGTGTCAATGCTTTTCAGTAACTGCCCGCTGTTGACATTCCACAGCTTTATGGTTTTACACTGCATGCCTCCACCAGTGGCTAGAAGACTGGACTTGAAATTGCAAAATTGGACAGCACGAACGGATCCGACATGCTCGTCAAGGACGAATAGGCTCTCCTAGAACGCTGATATTAGAAAAGAATAGAAGACGAGAATGCTCATTTTTACTCTACCAAAAGGAAGAAACGAAGCAGTAAAAGTAAAGAAAAATTACCGAAGAGCTACTTCCAAGGCGGCTGTCGTCCCATACACGAACTGTATTGTCTCCGCTACCCGAAGCTAATTTCGTTTGATTATGCGACCAATGCAGGCCAACAACCTCCCTTTCATGACCTTCCCATATCCTAAAACGCAGCCATCGAAGAGATAAAAAAATAATAGCAAGCAGTAGGAGGAGGAACTCAACTACGCTCACTAGAAAAAGCTTTCATACATGGTGTGTCAATTCAGACAATTGCTAAAAAAGTAGTAAAAAAGACTGGTCATGAGATCAGATGTTGAAACTCAACAGGCGAATGTGAATGAGACATGCGTTGATAATTAGTACAACCTTATTACACCAAATCACGTCCATCAGCCCATCCGCCCTCACAAAGGGCTAAACGTGACGTGAGAGTGTAATTTTGGGATATAACCACGAAAATCCCGTGTGCGCCAGCTCGGGACCCATTTGGCGGGCCATCAGGATGTGGATAGAGAAATTGGCGGTTAGCTGCCAGTATTAAATAAACGACACGCATTAATCGAGCGACCTTCGCCCGATCGCTTGCGAGAATGCCAGACTTGACCTCAGGCAGGACTCCGACCTGGGCATCCCGCTTTGCGCATGGGGGTGCTATCCATTCATCACCAAAGCCGCTCTCAACATTCCCACTTTGGTGCTACAGCCTCATAGCACTCACATGTTGAAAGGCACGCGCCGCGCTCATTTGAAGCGCACACGCCTCCTCTGAACATCGTAGTCCTGTCCGCAAGCATGGAAGATTGCTACTTTCGCAGCTCAAAACACACGAGAAAAGAGCGGCCCGCTAGCGCCACGCTGCACCCGCTGAATACTCAAGGTTATGAAAGTCCTATAGCATACCCAGTAATATGATTTGGTATGCGAACGTCATGATGGATGATTTGTCCAGACTGGTATCCAGCTGAAATGACTGCGCCTCGCCATCCCAGTACACCTTAAATACAGGGTGAAAAGTACAAGGAGATCAAAGAGACTGTTGCAAAGTACCGTTCCGAGACTGTCGCGGCGGTTTCATTGTTCGCAACTCCAGCTTCCCTCCTGGCGGAGGTACACGATGCGGATCATACAACTAAAAGATCTAATTCATTCAATGAAAACAGGAATAAAAGTTGCATACTGACAAACACACCTTTAGAGAACCATCTTTGAACCCAACAGCAAGGAATTTCCCGTCTAGTGACCATTTTACGGAGGTGATCAGGTTCATTTCATTAGCTTCGTCAAGTTCAAACAAAACCTTAAGAACCTATCATTATGAAAAAAGGATATAAAAGAAAAATATGACCTCACAAAGCGAAAAATTGTTTCTATGGACTCGTTTGACGTCAAAACAGAATGGTCACATGTCAAACTTTGAAATCTTGCCTGAATTTCTCCACTATCAGCGTTCCACAAATATAACGTGCATGATAATGCCACAGCAACGACGCCACAACTACTCCAGTCAATAATGTTCATGTAATAGTCATCTAAAAGAAATAAACTTTCTTTCTCCGATCAATATTGGCCCTTGGCACTAACTACCTTTTTGAGAGTCCGAGGTAAATTTTGATGTATAGCCATCCGATAACTACTCTTTCTTCGATCAATATCTGGCGCTTGGCACTGAGTAAATATACATTTTGTGAAGGTCAAATTTCGCTCGAGGTTTTGTCGCGAAGGAAAGGTTGACCCGCTTCGCACGGGAAGTCATACTCAGTTGGAGCGGAAACGTCCAGCCCTCGCGCCGTATGCGCCAGAGCTTTGGACAAGCATTGACGCTGGCTGATGCAGAGGGGATGGTGGGTGTAGTCGTTTGGCGCGATCTACGCGCTGAAAATGTGTGAAAACATGTCAGACGAACAGCCTTTCGAGGAGGGCAACACGTCCCAAATTTTAAACCACAACCTTCCCCCGACTGATCGATGGAAGCTGCCTTGGGTGAGAAGTAG